GCCAATGCCCGTGGCCCCGCCCCTAGGACTGCCCCTGGTTTTTATTCATGCAGTGTTTTTATTCCTTGACCTTTATCTTGCTTACTCATTTATGTTCTCCCTGCTGCTCAGATGGAACACTAAAACCTCTTCTCAGGTGGTTCCAAGTGGGTAGAAGTGAATACAGCATGCTTACGATGGTGACATCAGCAGAATGCTGCCAGTGGATTAGCTCTGGGATTGACTGACAGAGGAAAGGCGAAAAGAGACATTTTTGTTTTGGAATACAAGCATGCAGTGCGATACAAAGACAGGGCAAAAGCAGTGATAAAACCATGGTTGAACCTTTTTGGACAGGGGATTCTGATGTTATCAGTCCATGAAATGGACGTTATTATGTGTTATCAGTCCCATACAATGGCTTCAGAGGATCCCTAATGTGCTTTCTAGGTTTCAGAGTGTCCTGACAGTGCCCCCTAGTGGGTTAATGTATCAATGACAATGAATGTGTAAATAACCAAAACATATTGTAATAAATTTTTTATGTCTGTGTCGAACTCAAATGGTGGTCTCCCTCTCTCTGGTCTGATACTCCATCCATTGCCCTATTGAGAAGCCACAAAATATTTTCATCGGAGGTTAGTGCTAACCATGTCATCTGCGCTAAGGTTAACCTTGGTGGCTTTAAGCCTCATATTAACCAGATTTTTTATGCCTCATATTAACCAGATAGTGGTTTTATACCTCATATTAACCARATAGTGGTTTTATGTCTCATATTAACCAGATAGTGGTTTTATACCTCATATTAACCAGATAGTGGTTTTATGTCTCATATTAACCAGATAGTGGTTTTATACCTCATATCAACCAGCTAACAATCAGAAGCCATTCTATGGGACGGGGAACCTGCTAAGCGGCACAGACGGGACATTCTGAAGCCATTCTAGGGGACTGATAACGCCTAATAACATTCATTTCATGGATGATAACATCCAAAGTGGGTGCTTTTCCTGTTTTACTTCAGCTGCTTTCAATAAAAATAAAGTAGAATAACAACTCCAAATTAACTTTTATTTCAATACAAGATAAATGTCTTTTGTGAAATGATGGATCAAGAACAGTTCAATCAGATCAAACATCACATAAAAACTTAAACTTCTATAACTGCATATATTTAGATGAAAACAGCAACATCATAAGCAGCTTACATGCATTATGACTGCTAGTGGTGTCCCGATACTGGTATTGATTCTCCATTCAGTGTGTTACAGTTTACATTTCAAGTGAAAAGTTGTCAGTTCCATTAAGAATTAATTAAGAATTTTATACAAGTTGAAAAAAGTCTTTTATTTTAAAATTTTGCAGCAGCATAAATCATGCCCTATATTTGATTTAATACAATCAGAAGGGCTGCAGTCCTATAAGGACTGGGAGCCTCCTTGTTCAAAATAAAATGTTTTTAAAGTCACTGTGTAATGTTTAAGTTCTAACTCAGTAAATACTTGGTATCTGCGAGTAACCAAACTGAAGTGTTTGAGATAAACTGGTATTGGGACACCCCTAAGAGAAATGAGAGAGAACACACAAGGAACTCATCAAACACAAGAGGTATTTTACAAGACATATTCAGGGTGAATCAAAAAAAGAAAGTCAACATTGTCATCATGACAAAACTATACATATTACAGCAGGAATCACAGTTTGTCCTAAAAGTAGACAACAAATGCTTTTTTTGATGCACCCTGTACAAACATTCTTTGCAGATGGTGACTTGTGAAATCTGACATTACATTTCATATAATTACATCTTAAGACCATTTTAAATCAAAAGTTTGTAGCTTTCTTACAATTGCATGTTTAAATATTAATCCACAACAGGAGACAGGTAAAATGTACAAAAAACTGATGAACTGACTCTTAAAAAAAAAAAGAAAAAGGAAAACATGCATCAGCACCTTGTCATCAGGTGAAAAACCTAAAGATCAACCAACATTTTGGAACCTTCTGAACTTACAGAAAACTATTTGTTGATACAGTTAGATTTCAGCTTTGGAGAAAAGCTCTGTTATTCAGTTGTTCAGATCCAGTTTAAACTTGTTCATTAGGATCAGGATATCAACTACAACAATCAAAAAGAAAGCTTATTTTATCACGTCTGCTCAGTATTAGTAGTCCACTGAAATTCATCTGAACCAAAATTCAGATTGAGATTCTCTTTATTGTCAAACATAACACCAGGGATGCAATGTAGTTAGAAATTACAGTTAAGACCACCCATTCAAGAAAAACACGACAAAACATGGGGGAACAGGGGAACAGGTCATGTGGCAGCCGGGTCGCGAAAAGTAGAAGCAAAAATGAAGTAACTCATCAAAAAAAGGCCAAAGTTTGTCACTAATATGAAGAGCAGCTTCTGGTTGCAAAGGTTTAAAAATGCTATATTTTCATTTGTACTTTATCAAATTTATTTTTACAGGTTTTTTAATTTTAAACTTTTACATTAAACATTTTAATTTATTTTATGCCCACAATTTTATTGGTTGAATTGTCTATTTTTGTTATTGTTTGTTAAAAATATATATATTTGTGTTGATAAGCCTGAGTGTTCTGTTGACTGACCTTTGTATTTGTTAATAATTGTTATGGGCAGGTTACAATATAAAATGTTTGTTATAATCATGTCTTGTGATTATTTGACAGGAGTTTTACTTTTAAACTGTAAGTGTATTTAATTTAGTTATGTTAGTTATGATAGTTTAGTTATGATGTAAATACAATAAAAATTGAACAAAGATTTATAATAATTATATTTTGATCCATACATTGGTAATGTCTGACTGGGCCTCGTGTCACTTTATGTTCAATAAATTGGGCCCTGAGGTCAAAAAGGTTAAGAAGCCGTGTTATGCTACATTTACACCAAACGTGTTTTGAGCATCAGATTTACATACAAAGTCAAAGGTGGACGCACATCTAGGGGCATCTAGAAGCTGAGCAGCACATCTGGTGCATTTCGAGCAGTGCGGTTCGAAGCGGTGCACAGGTCATGAGCGTTTTTCGTGGGTGCGGCACGTCTGAAGCTTGAGTTAGAAAATCTGAACTTTTGCTGCTCAACGCGTTGTATCAACCAATCAGAGAGACTGCTCAGTCACGTACTGGTGACGAGCCGGAAATACCGGAAGCCTGGGAAATCAGATCACACAAACAATGGAGGAAAAACTGATAGTCCGATCATTTATGATCATTCCAGTGACTGTTATCATGATGGAAATAAAAAGGACTTTACCTGGAGGACTGTTAATGAGGAAGTCAGCATCTTTAACTACGGTTAAAAAGGCTCCTCCCCTCGAGCGTCTAAAGAAGCACATCTACGTTCACATCAAATGTGTCTGTCCTCACTGGACACCAGCATCAAGATGTGTGTGTTTTGAGATTTTTGGAGGCGTTTGGTGTAAACGTATCATTAATGACCTGAGGGCAGGGTCTGACTGAGAGCAGCAACATGTCTGCAGGCTAGGCTACCTGTTCAATAGTCCTGGTGTATATGGGATTGTTTTAGGGTTATGCTACTAGCTGTGCTGATGCTAATGGTCATTATTGTCAGAGAAAGAAAGCTTTTTTTATCATTTTTTTAGCAAAATTAAGATGTAATAATAATAAAAATGCATTTTATTTATATAGCGCCTTTCAGGACACCCAAGGACGCTGTACAATTGAAAAGAAACAACTGTAAATACAGTCATATGGTAGTGCGGCAGAAACATAGAAATGTGGAGAACATAACAGTCATGTAAAGAAATACAAAAAATAGATAAGTTGAACAATAGGGTTGTGGGGGAGAAACTGAAATGAGGACTACAAAACAGTCATATAATGTGGTACGATCAGAGTTAACGGTAGGCTAATCTGAAAAGATGTCTTCAGACCAGTCTTAAACAGGGAGAGAGAGCTGGTGTTGTGTAATCCATGGGGTAGGGAGTTCCAGAGCTGAAAGCTCTGCTCCCCATGGTGCTGAGGAGGGCAGGAGGTACTGAGAGGTGGAGGGAGGAGGCAGATCTTAGAGAGCAGGAGGGTGTGGAGATGTTCAGGAGGTCGGACAGGTAAGGAGGGGAAAGATTGTGGAKAGCTTTGAAGGTGAGTAGGAGAATTTTGAAGATCATGTGGGATTTAACTGGGAGCCAGTGGAGCTGCTGTAGGACTGGAGTGATGTGGGCAGAGGATGAGGTTTGATTACACGGGCTGCTGAGTTCTGAACCATCTTTAGTTTGTGAAGGGATTTATTGGGGAGGGCAAATGGTAAATAAATGGTAAATGGACTGTACTTATATAGTGCTTTTCTATCATCCAGGACGCTCAAAGCTCTTCACACTACAATCTGTGTCCTCATTTATCCATTCACACAGCACTCTATTAGGTCTCTACAAAGATAACATGTACAATCATCTATGGAGACTAATCAGTGCCAATCATATTCATACATTGATGGGACACATCAGAGGCATTAGGGCTGAAGTGTCTTGCCCAAGGACACAACAGCTGAGACAGCTAGACGGGGGATCAAACCGGCGACCTTCCGGTTTCAGGACAACTCCCTTAACCACTCTGCTACAGCCGCCCCATAAAAACAGTAGGGAGTTGCAGTAGTCGATCCTGGATGTTACTAGGCTATGTACAAGGATGGCAGTAGAGCAGGAAGTGAGTGAAGGATGAAGACAGTTAATGTTGCGAAGATGGTAAATGGTAAATGGACTGTACTTATATAGCGCCTTTCTATCATTCAGGACACTCAAAGCGCTTTACACTGCAGACATTCACCCATTCACACACACATTCACACACACATTCACACACACATTCACACACTGATGATGGCAAACTACAATTGTAGCCACAGCTGCCCTGGGGCACACTGACAGAGGCGAGGCTGCCATACACCAGCACCACCGGATCCTCTGACCACCATCAGTAGGGAAGGTGGGTAAGGTGTCTTGCCCAAGGACACAACGACTGAGTCGACTGGACGGGAATCAAACCGGCAACCTTCCGGTTCCAGGTCAACTCCCCTAACCACTCTACCACAGCCGCCCCAATCAAATGAAAGTATGTGGATCGAGTCACGTGACCTGAGGCGAGGAGGAAAGAACGAAGTTGTTAAGTGTGAAGAGAAGATGTTGGGATTTGGAAATGGAGTTTTTTGTCCCAACAAGGAGGAGTTCAGTTTTGTTATGGTTTAGTTGGAGGAAATTGCTGGCGAACCAGTTATTGAGCTCACTGAGGCAGTCGGCAAGAGTGGAGGATAGTAAGGTGGAGTTCGGTTTTGATGAAATGTAGAACTAAGTGTCGTCGGCATAAGAGTGGAAATGGATACCAAATTTACGGAAGATGTGGCCAAGCGGAAGCAGATCGATTATGAAAAGTAGAGGCCCGAGTACAGAACCTTGGGGAACACCAGTGGAAATGGGTGAAGACTGGGAACGGAAGGACTTGAGCTGTATGAACTGAGTGCGGTCAGAAAGATAGGATTTAAACCAGTCCAGTGTGGTGTCTTAGATACCGATAGAGGTTAGTCTGTCGATGAGGATAGGATGAGAGATGGTGTCAAAGGCAGAGCTCAGATCAAGGAGGATGAGTACTGACAAGTCCTGAGTCCTGTAATGTATATGTTTCCACAGCAGCATGTTGGGTGAGGAAATGAGAAAACTAAATTATCTGTGAATATCTAGCCTGATTGTTGTCACTCCTGTGTAGTCCAGTCCTCTCAGTGCATGTGATTGCTATTGTGCCCATGTAGTGTTTGGCAACAGCCAGTGGTTTTTAGTGAATTTTTAAATGCTCTTTATTTCCAGGCTTACACTCTATGGTCATAGAGGGTGCTGTATCATGAACACAGTACAACAGTTACTGTGGTACAGCTGATGACAAAGAACTACAGACAGTAGCAGTAATAAGATCCAACACTTGTGATGGGATTGGGACATCCTGAGTATCTTCTGTTCAACATTCAACAGCATGTTGATGTCAGCCACTCCTGTCTTTCTAGCTGATAGACAGGTACCATCTCATCCCATCCCACTGGGAATAAACAAAAACAGGTAAATGCTGGTGTTTGCAGGGAACATTAAAAGCACTATTAACTTAAATGTGCTGATATTTGGATGGTTTCTCAGAGTCACATTAACCAATTCATGTCATTTAGTTGAACTAAACAAAGCAGCAACATAAAGTAAATGACAGCAGTAGAAAAAAAATTCATAGTCATATGTTCATAAATTAATAATAAATTTTCTAATTAAAAATCAAATATCACTTTTTCTATAAAGTTTGTTCTATTGGGAGCTTTAAAAACTTAAAAAAATAAAAGTCTTCCATATATTGAAGAAATGCATACCACATACACTGTCTGGCCCCAAAACGTTGTCACCTAGACCTGCTACAGTTAAATCCAGGTGGCACCTTTTTCACCTATTTTACAGCAACAGTATGAGCTCAAAGAATGAGGTCAGCTGACTACCTGAATGTACTGAATGACCAGGTTATTCCATCAATGGGTTGTTTCTTCCCTGATGGCACAGCCATATTTCAGGATTCATTGGGCTTGAATTGTGTGAGTGGTTCAGGGAGCATGAGGCATGATTTTCACACATGGATTGACTCCACAGTCCATTGAGAATCTTTAGGATGTGCCGGAGAAGGCTTTGTACAGTGGTCAGACTCTACCATCAACAATGCAAGATCTTGGTAAAAAATGAATACAACACTGGATGGAAATAAATCTTGTGACACTGCAGAAACTTACAAACAATGCCACAGTGAAAGCGTGCCATAATCAAAGGTAAAGGTGATCCAACAAAAATATTGTGGCCTTTTTTTTTTTTTGGCCAGGCAGTGTATTTTCTGATTAGTAATGACAGCATTTTAGCCACTTTAGTTAGACATTTTAAATTACCTTTTACACATTCCCAAGAAGGATCTAAAGAGATGTTCTGGTTCTATGTGTTGAGGATGTCTCAACAAGGACTGCACCAAAATCTAGTTCAGTGTTTGTAGAACTGACTGATAGCTATTCTTGAGCTTTTTAATGGTAAGTTCCATGTGGCAGCCATCTTGAAGCAAGTTCACTCCAAAATTTATACAGTTGTAGATGAATGATTACTTTTTGAACGTTTCATTCAAATCTGTCCACTGGTTTGTACTTTTTTTTGCTAACATAAAAGACAAATTAATACAAAGAAAAATATGAAACAATGTCACCTTCAGGAGCAGATGATAAAAACAAAGCTGCAGACAGAAGTTACTGTTCAGACTGAAAAAGAGCCAGCAGCTGAAAAACCTGTCTTTTTGGTTGCAAACAGGCGAGAGGTGGATTTCGCCTGAGCTTTAGCTGTTGCCATCTTTCCATTCCATGACTTTGTCATATTCTTGTATCCTCTGTTTGATGTGAGACAGTTTGCTTTTCAGATATTCACAGCGTTCCTTCTTCTCCAGGAAAGTTGCATCCTAAAACAGTGAAGCAAGAACAAAAGATACTGTGTGATTCTCTTTTTCTGGAAACCAGCATGCAAATCACATTCACATTCTGTGGGACTGTCCACTTATAAAACATTACTGGACATGCTGCTCTACAGGACATTTTTAAAGTTTCCTTCCCATTCAAGTCTGGATACTTTGCACATATACCACAGAACTGGAAAAAGGATAAACATTTATTGAATATCTTACTAGTAGCAAGCAAGACGTAAGAGTGTGTCATTTTCCACAGTAAAACAAGTACTGTATCGACATGGACAATGACCTGAAGCATAACCCTATTGAAAATTTATGGGCAAAGCTAAAAAGGCATGTGAGAGCAAGGCAGCTGTAATGTTTTGGTAGTAATGATCTGGACTCTTATTTTGAAACTGTTACTGAGACCAGAAATACCACTACGTGTGTAGAAATTTATTAACAAATGTGGGTGCCAGTGTGGGACAAAATAATTTTTTAGAATTAAACAGTGAACACTCCTGTCAACTGGTATGCTGGTGAATTTATTGATGGACAAGTGAGACACAACAAAACCGGCTCAGTTACACCAATACGGTCAGGAGGAATGGGGAAAATGTATGCCAACTATTGTGAGAAGCCTGTGGAAGGATATCCAAAACATTTGACCCAAGTCATACAGTTTAAGGACAATGGTACCAACAAATACTAATGTACTAGTGAAGTAAATACTAGTCAAGTATTTAAACTTTTGACTTTGAGGTGGGGAATGCTGGTGAGCACCTGGTGGCCAGGCTTTCACTCATGGAGAACTTTGAACATGTTACGTGGGAGGTGGGGGGACACTGCATCTGAGTGGGCCATGTACTGTGCCTCCATTGTTGAGGCAGCTTACCGGAGCTGTGGCCACAAGGTTGTTGGTGCCTGTCATGGCGGCAACTCTCGAAGTCACTGGTGGACACCGGCCGTGAGCAGCTGATGGTTATCAGCAGTCCAAGCGGATTGCGGCTCGGGTGGTCACTGAGGCAAAAACTCGGGCATGGGAGGAGTTCGGAGAGGCCATGGAAAAAGACTTCTTTATGACTTCGAGGCGATTCTGGTCCACCATGTGGCGTCTGAGGGGGAGAAAGCAGTTTGCCACTAACACTATTTATGGTGGGGATGGTGCACTGCTGACCTCAACCCTTGATGTTGTGGGTCAGTGGGCAGAATACTTCGAAGACATCCTCAATCCCACCATCTTCCCATTAGGAAGCAGAACCTGGGGACTCTGGGTCAAATTCTTCAATCTCTGGGGCCGAGGTCAGAGAGGTGGTTAAAAAGCTCCTCAATGGCAAGCAACCGGGGGTGGATGAGATTTGCCTGGAGTTCCTTAAGGCTCTGGATGTTGTAGGGTTGCGTTGGTTGATGCAACTACACAATCTTGCGTGGACATCGGGGGCAGTTCCCCTGGGTTGGCAGACTGGGATGTTGGTCCCCCTAATTAAAAAGGGGGACCGCAGAGTATGTTCCAACTATAGGGGGATCACACTTCTAAGCTTCCCTAGTAAGTTCTATTCAGGGGTCCTGTAGAGGAGGGTTCTTCGGATAGTCGAATCTCAGATTCAGGAGGAACAGTCTCATTTTCGTCTTGGCCGTGGAACACTGGACCAGCACTACAGCCTCAGCAGGGTCCTAGAGGGTGCAAGGGAGTTTGCCCAAGCAGTCCACATGTGTTTTGTGGACTTGGAGAAGGCGATTCATCTGTGTCCCTCAGCGAGTCCTTTCGGGGGTACTTCGGGAGTATCGGGTACCGGGGCCCATTGATACGGGCTGTTAGGTCCCTGTACGACCGGTGTCAGAGTTTGGCCCGCATTGACTCGCCTCCAGTGAGAGTTGGATTTCGCCAAGGTTGCACTTTGTCACCGATTTTGTTACCAATTTTTAATAACTATTATGGACAGGATTTGCAGGCGCAGCCAAGGTGTTTAGAGGATCCGTTTTGGTGACCTTAGGATCGCATCTTTGCTTTTTTCGGACGATGTGGTCCTATTAGCTTCATCAGACTGTGATCTCGAGCTCTCACTAGAGTGGTTCGCAGCTGAGTGTGAAGCGGCCGGAATGAGGATCAGTGCCTCCAAATCTGAGACCATGTTTTTGAGTTGGAAAAGGGTAGGGTGCCTTCCCCGGGTTGGGGAAGAGGTCCTGCCCCAAGTGGAGGAGTTTAAGTATCGTAGGGTCTTGTTCACGAATGAGGGAAGAATGCAGCAGGAGATCGATAGGCGGATTGGTGCTGCATCTGCAGTGATGCGGGCACTGTACCAATCCGTTGGGGTGAAACGAGAGCTGAGTGAAAAGGCGAAGCTCTCGATTTACTAGTCGGTCTACATTCCTACCCTCATCTATGGTCATGAGCTTTGGGTAGTGACAGAAAGAACGAGATCGCGAATTCAAGAGGTCAAAATGGGTTACCTCCATAGGGTGTCTGGGTTCTCCCTTAGAGATAGGGTGAGAAGCTCTGTCATCTGGGATGGACTCAGAGTAGAGCCGGTGCTCCTCCACATCGAGAAGAGCCAGTTGAGGTGGCTCGGGCATCTGGTTAGGATGCCTCTTGGACACCTCCCTAGTAAGGTGTTTCGGGCACGTCACACTAGGAAGCGGCCTAGAGGAAGACCCAGGACACGCTGGAGGGACTATGTTTCTCAGCTGGGAACACCTTGACTGGGAATGTCTTGCAATTCCCCCAGAGGAGCTGGTCCAAGTGGCTGGAGAGAGGGAAGTCTGGGTCTCTCTGCTTAGGCTGCTGCCCCTGAGACCTGACCCCGGATAAGAGGAAGAAAACGGATGGAGCAACTTTGAAGAAAAGGGAGGCACAAAGCTCAGTTGGTACAGCAGATGCCTCTCAGCAAGAAGACTGCCGGATTGAATCCCAGCTGAGGACCGTTCTGGGTAGAGTTTGTGCATGGGTTTTCTCCAGGTACTCCGGCTCCATCCCACAGACCAAAAACATGACTGCTTTGTTACACTGTAACAGACTTCTGTAAATTTACGGTGGATTTTTTACAGTATCTTACAGTATTTCATATTAACATTAAAATATTGTGAAATAGCTACACATACTGTTAATTTATAGTTTAGTATTTAACAGTAAATGACTATATTTAACAGCATAATACAGTATTTTTTTAATGTGGAAAAAGAAAACAGTCCTTTACAAGTCCCTCCATTATGCATTAGAACCTTTTCAAATGCTGTCGGCTGCTGGTTCTGTTAATCAGTCAACTCAGGATTCATTTTTGAGTGACAAGATTTATTTGTGAGCTTGTCTTTTGAGAATGCACTTCTGCTTCAGTCTACAAGTTCAGAAGGTAAGATTATGCTTCTCTCATGAATTGTTTTGTGAATGAATTGTAGCTGATTTAATGACGGGGGTTACAGGTACCGTACTGAAAGTACTAATTCAACTACTGGTTGTACTGTACCTACAGGCTAAATAGCTCAGTTATTGATTAAGCTACTTTATATTTTTATACTTTGCTAGTGACACTGTGCTGCTCTTTTGTTCTTTGTTTTACAGGCCCTAATCATTCATGTGAACATTAATCAAATGCTGCAGTTCAGCCATTTTTAAGCGTTAGCGCTCTTTTACTTCATTTTACTTTTGTCATTAACACTTGTTTGTGCAAAAGACTTGTGTCCACGCTAGACTGATGCATTTCTGTTATACTGTTGTTGAATCTGTGTTATTGCTGTTGTTTTTCTTTAGCATCACACCGTTGTTGCTGCCATTTTACCTGGAATTTATATTGTTAAGGACAATTTTTATTCAACAACTGAGGTTGGAATCATAATTTTACGAAAGTTGACATTTAGTAATTTGTCATTTTGTTCTGTGAACTAAAAAAACATTTTAATGAATTCTGTTTTCTTATTTATTTTGTAAATTTGGAAAGAATCATGGGAATTTGCAGATTTTATTTTATTTTGTAAATGGATATGCACATCTTGTAAATTACAACAAAACTAGCATTTTACTTTAATCATACAATTATATACTGTTACATTAAATTACAGTACATAAACTGTAAAATAACAGTACAATGTTGGCGTCTTTCCTAACACTAATTTACTGTTATTTTACAGTTTGACTTGATCTGATTTATTTATTTAACAGGAAAAGATTATAATAAATCAAGCCTGACTCAGTATAATTGCTGTTTTACAGCAGGTTCCTGTTCTGCAGCACATAAAACACTCAGAAATACAGCATCACAATCACATCATTATACACCATAGACACAAAGACAAACAAGCATACCAAATTTCAGGAAGGCAGCTGTTGTGGAATACTGATTATGTATCACCTGGACACTGTCCACTCGTTCCTGTTCCTGTTC